ACTTGTGAAGGAAATAAAGTTTGTTAAGGCTCAGTTTAGTCAAATGGGACCTAGGGCTCTATATGTTATGTTCAGATTTCAAAGAAGAAAACTGCATTAACCAAGAGGAAGAAGAGGTTTTTAGCCGAAACCGTGGAAGAAAACTCGCAAAATGAAGATAAAGATTCTAAAGATAAGGTATCGTTTATATCTCTCCTCAAGCTGTCCTTCACTGTTGCTTCCGCACGGAAAAGCGGTATAGTCTTCGGGAGGAACCTTGCGACAGACGTGGCTGGTGACACACGCCGCAATTTCACGACGCCTAATCGAGCTGTTTGCTACTCTCCTACTTGCCCATACTCTCTACTCCCGGTCACTGGTGATCGCGCTAAATCGATATCTGCACTTTCCTAGTCACTCACGCTGCCGGGTGGCAGGGGTGCTATATAGTGGGAAATCTGCTAGAAAGTCTGTGTTCTGCGCGGCATTGGGCGAGCACTTTTGGACGAGTTTCCCGTTGACATCGTGCCAACAATCGCTTTGATAGATGCGGCTGCGTGAATGTATTCATAGATCCATGGAAGGTTTCAACGACGTTTTACGCGTCATAAATGAAGCGATAAGAGTACTAGCGTCAATAAGACTGTCCGGTCATTTGGGGGGGGGGAGGTACGTGGCCGCAGCGGGCGTTCGCATCGGCATGCTTTACCGTCGTCGTGCTTAGGCGCTTCAACCTTACCCTTGGTTGCGGGAGGCGCCGCGCAGCGCCTGTTAAGGGGCACAATATTCTTCCGTGCTAGGCGCATTTACCCTATACCGATTTATTGTGCACTTGCCTTCAACGCTTTTCCCTATCGCTCATGATGATACGTTACCACTGGGTGTGGAGCTTTACCTCCAGTCGCGCGAGTGTGTCTAAATAGACTTTACAAGTGAGGTGATCACCAGGACCTGATCCACTCGACGTAGCGGTGCTGCAAGGCATGGTCTCTTCCTGCATCTCTCGAGTCGACTGCATCCCCTGTGCATGTCTCCATCACTCTCAACTAGCTAGAATATTTCTGTTGGCGCACGCAGTGCCACCGCTTGGGCCGTAACGCGCCATACCCGCTCTCAATAGCTCGCATCCTATTTCGGACATATTTTTCGCATAGAAGAATGAAGGTTCTCCCAAGGAAGCTCAATTAATCGTCACTGCAATCCCTCTGGGAATGCTCAAAATCAATTGTGAGAGTGGCAATGGCCCAAACCAGTTAATTGCAACTTACAGCCAGAACCAAAACCAGCCAAGAAAAGTGAATCAGTGTCACGGAAAAAACAAATAACCACCTCCAAATATATGCGGTGTACTCGACAAGTTCATTGACTCAGTGACAGATCTTGCGTTGGTTTCAATGCATAATAGGCCTTCTGTCTGTCCATTTGCCAAGCCTTTCTTATAAAAGCATACAGTCCCCAACAGCCGAATCGAGGCGTGTCAGCGTGGCGTGAATTTTGAGGCAGCGCCAGCTCATTTCCCGCCAATCATTTCTCGCCACTTCTGCAGCGCAGGGTTAAAATCGACTTTGGGTGCGCCAAGATCTACGACACTTGACACACGGGCCACACAGAGACATCGTTGATCGCGCGCTAGCGGGCTTCGCCGATGCCGACGTCGCGCCGGCAAATACCATGATTTCAGGTAGTTGTAGATGGCGACAACAGACAGTTCAGAACTGAAAATAGTCATGAATGTCCACGATGACGGGTCTACATTAAGTCCGTGCTCCAATCGGCAGATCAACGCGAGTTAAGGAACCCGCCCTCCCATCGCCGCGCGCGACGAAGCGCCGAATTGCGATTCTCATGCCCGTCTCCTCCTGACACACCCGACGATTCCTTTGTTGATTACTTAGCTACTAATAAACATGGAAAATACGTTATCCATCCGTTTCTTGTGCTGATCTCGATGAGTGGTGAATATTCATGATACAGTACGCTTCAAAAGTTTGAAACGGCTGTTTCTTACTAGTGTGACGGATTCATAGGTTGCTAGGTACTCGAGGCAAACTGCACACACACCCAGGAGGACTGAGTTTTTGCCCAGTGCGAGGTGAATAGGTCTGCAGCTGCACGGAGTGCTACTTTCTCGGCTCAAAAAGGTACGGGAACAGGCAGGGAGGTAATGGAGCCCTGGCCTCTTCCGACTCGGTGAGTAATCCTCGAGGTGCAGCATTTGCGTCAATACCATGAACCCGCAGTGAACACGCAGTCCAAGGTAGCGAACGACGGGGAGTGAGAGGACGCGGGGAAATACCGCCTTTGCTTATGGTTACGCGTGTGGACTAGCGTGTGAGAAGTCGTGAGACGGCTCCGGGGCATCACTACCCTCCAACGTCGTCCGAGCGCAGGCTGCGGAGACCATTCACCTCGTACATGACAAGGGCCAGGATACACGGAGATGAGTGTGCAGGTTTTTTTCGACAAACTAAGCGTGTCGAAATTACCTCTGGGCGTTCTTTCGGAGAGAACAAAATTTTAAAGTGGTATGTGACGAGCCGCGCTGATGGGCGTCGCGTGCGACGTCGCCCGCAAATAACGATGGTTCCAGGTCGTAGATGGCAACAACAGACAATGTAGAACCGAAAATAGTCATAAATGTCTACAGTTTCGTAGCCCACGTGAAATCCGGTGCTCCAGTTGACAGGCTAACACCACGTAAGAAGACGCCGCGCCCATCGCCGCGCACGGCGGAGCGGCAAATTATGATCCTCTTGCCGTCTCCCATTTCAGAGCACTCGGATGTAGCTGGCCATGAATTTCCGAGTTCTTTCATGTTCTCAACATCACAGTTTTCTTTGTTGTAGGAGTAGCTGGAATAAAGAAGCTCTACAACGAAAAACTTGCTAGCTATCGTGCTCCTGATAATCTCTACAAATTCACAGAGTTTGAAAACAACAAGGACAAAAACCGCTTTTTGGTGGGTGTAGCGATTCAGCATTGGGTTACCAGTTAAGGAAAAAAGCAGAAGAGCCCAAAACCGCAGGAATTTTAATGATCTATTGTGATCATGAACTTGTTCCAAGCAACTGAAGCGGGCGAATGCTGGAACGGGGCTACACCCTGGTGTACCGTTTATTGAGCCCACCCCGCCATCAGATGCTGGGACATGACAGGGTAGGGCGAGGGCCGGCTTCCGCGTGACGTCAGTCCATTTTCTTCCAGTTGGCGTCATTTTCATAACCGTGGAGGATGGGCTGGTGCCGTGTCTTATCCACACTTTTCACCCTGAGCCCCAGGTTCTGCATCAAAAGGACTGCAAGTGTTGTAATTTCCAAGAAGAGCTCTTTTCTTAAGGATGTGGTTTGCCTGGATCATTCTCGTGTTGTTTTACACTTCGAGGTGCCCCCATGTTCAAATTATATTCACGCAAACTGGGTTCGCTTTGAGAAACACGATCGAGTATTCATTGCAACACAGGTATCTTTCCATTTCCGTGCACAGTGAGTAGCAGTTTGGGCACACTTGACTCCCAAATGGATGGCTATTTTTAGGCTCCAATGGAGAACACAATCGAGGACTTTTGGAGAATGATATTCCAGGAATCATGCAATGCTATTATTAACCTTACAAATGTGGGATATATCCAACATTACATATTCTCTATATCCGAGAGACAGAGAGGGCGTGGCTGTGTGCTTGATTTGAACGTGGCGTCGCCTTCGCTTTCGTGGGATATCGTCGTTTTTTGAGACAACTGTAATCCTGTTTTTGACCAGCAAGAGACAGGATGACAACTGCCTCAAACGAAACTTGCATGAGAAGCGCCCTTTTCACTTGGAGCAGGCTGGCATGCCTTCCTAATCCTGCAAACAATGCAAGGAGTGAGTGTTTCCAAGTTGTTTGTGAGCGTTATGGGGGCAAACCGTCGGCGGGTTGGGTAGAGAAGCAGCATGAGCATGAAAAAAATGCATGGGGCACAAGGAAAGGTTTCTTTTTTCTGTTAGGGCAGCTGCCCACACATGCGTGGGAGCCGTTGCACTAAGAGGTATATAAATTGGGGACAATAAAAAGACATGTTGCCTGAGGCACATATCAGAAAAGAATACGCTGCCCAGAAAGAAGACGTGGGTACGAGCACCAGGGCGGGAGATACCCAAGATGTTCCTCGATAAGCAGAAGCAGGCTCTCGTCCATCACCTTCATGTACACCAAAATATGAAGCCATTTGCAATCGCAGCCAAACTGAAGAAGGCCTATAATTCACGTCACCTCCAAACAGCTGCGAAACTTCTGGTATCGGAGTCACCCATGAAGAGCTACCAGGGGACAGCACTCTCGATCTGGAAGACCTCCGAGCAGCTCCGACAACGTCCATAATATCATCTTCACCGCAGTCGCCAAGGCGCGGGTTGATGGTATGGACCGGAAGTTCCTGGAATGGAAGACCGATATTTTCTTCGTGGACCCCGGACTGAAAGTGAACGCTGACTGGTGAATCAACTGCTTGAGGAGAATATCCTGCCTTCATTTTGTCGCCTGTACCATTTTGGAGACTTCGTACTGCTACATGATTGGCTGCCAACACATGGAACTGAAAAACTCTCGCCTAGTCGAAATCGAAGGGCGTGGAGTACATGAAGAAGAAGGAATATCCACGTGTGTCACCTGGCATAAATCCCAACGGGGTGGTCTACAGTGGTGGAGAAGCAACGACCTCACTGAACTCAGGCGCAGAATCACGCGTTCGCGTGGCAGAATCTCTCGACATTCGTCCAGAAGGCTGTGGTGGAGTTTTGTGATAGCGTGCAATGTGTTGTCTCGATGGTGGGAATGTCCGATCAGAGCTTAATAAAGACTTATTTGCCTTGAAAGTCGCGGGAAAAGCTTCTCTTTTTGCCCCCCTCCCCTGCAGGTCTGTGGACCCGCAAGCTCCAAATACCATGAATGAGTCGTTTAGGAATGGGGTCGTGTGGCTCAGACGTTGAAAACAAATGGCACACTTACCTTTGAGGAGAGTCCTCCCCTGTGCGAGGTGCGGAGCGGAGCGTGAGGGCAGCGAGGTCCGGGTGCTGTTCCCGACTCTGCTCGCGCTCCTCAAAGTGCTTCCATCGATGCCGTGGTCCCGCAGCGAAGCACTTGGCTTGTGGTAAAGAGCAATCAGAAGTGAGAGGGCGCAGAAATAGCGCGTTCTGCTATAATTAGAAAGTGGCTGTCGGTGCTGGAGAGCAGGTAAGTATGGAGCAGGCACACGAATATCAGCCTCGTTCTAGTGCAGTTTTGTCGGAAAAAAGGCACGCTTCTGCGGGGCTACTCACCTTACCTAAGACCAGGAAGCTGTGGAGGAGGGTGTACAGTTTGTCTTCAGTCTCCTTCCATTAGTTGAAACCAATTTCAGTCGCATACTGTACGGTCCACTTCGTTCCATGTCTTCCACAGTCCTCGTTCCATATTAGTACAAAACCCATTCACAAGGCAAAATGAAACCCAGTAGACTCCAATAGCTGGCATAGTGGATAGCTTCATTTCCTTCCCGCATTTCATTTCTGGCCTTGCGATAATTGAATTTGCTTTTCAGGACGCAGAAGATACAGACAGGGTAGTACCGTATTTTCCAGATAAGCCTGGTGCATTCACTAATTACGGCCGAATGTTTGTTAACACTAAAAAGGTCTTGTCTACTCTCAATCACTTGTATGTGAAGTGTACAGTACCGAGTGCTTTTATAGATGGATGAAGAGACTCGTTTTACTGTATACACGCTCGAAGTACTGCCAGACGGTTGCTCCAACAGTCTTCTATTGAAGTTGATTAGAGCGAAGAGCGACACAGGAAAATCGCCCTCTACAACGATGATTTTACGAATGCTTCGAATTGTCGGAACGGTTCGTTTCGATTGCTTGTAAAGAAAATCAAAGAGTCACAGGTTTACATTGGCCCCTCTGGAGGGCGGTCACGACTATCGAAATTGCTTCAATCAGGACAATTTAGTCAGAGCGTGTTGCCACCGGACCAGTTGTTGTGCACTGTGTGTCTGGTGTTGGTCGAGCTGGTACGGTAATACTCATCGATGTCATTCTTCAACGATTGTTCACTAACCAATTACCAGTAGATGTAAGTTTGTGATATCGTAATATTGTAGCTTCCTTTTAGATGGTCCGAGAGATGGCTTTCACTCTATGCCAGATATGCGTATCTGCAGTAGAGTGAAATGCGGCCGTTTGAAGTTTTCTAGGGCGCAGGTTGTGTTTATACTTCACGATCCCACTACCGTTTCAATAGCGTGTCAATACTGTAGACGGGTTTGAAGTCATAGAGGGGCATCGGCTGGCGCCAGCATCTAACGTTTTGGGAAAGTGTAAGAAACTAGAAGGGTATCAGACTGTGTGATTAGGCGTTTCAAATAGCAACGAAGTGTTTTAGGTCCACCCTGAGGGCTTCCAATGTGGTGACGCCTGATCTGCAGTCCGACACGCTCCCATTCCTATACATACTCCCCTTGAAGGCAGTGGGCACGATTGAGGAGAGAGGAGAAGGGGCGATTGCTGTTAACGTCGTTGGTGAGAGATTGCGCGACATCCAGTTTGGCCAAGTCCCACTTCCACCCTCCCCCACCCCCCTCTTTCACCAATGACGTTGGCAGCAATCGCCCGCCTGGGCCCTAGTGCCCAGGCGGGCGGTTGCTGCCAACGTCTTTGCACTATCGGCCTGTGCCATACCGATCTATGACTGCATTCCTCTTCCGCACAGCTACTGCAAAGGTGGCACAATGTCACGATTCACTGCGAAGTCTAAGCGCAGCTTGGGACCTGGGGAGGAGGGATCGCTGTCTCAATAGGAAGAAGAATACGTGCTGATAGTGAATCAGTCCTGAAAATAACTCACAATGTTAATGTTATACCAGTCGGATCGCACGGCTAACGCCGTGCTCTCCTCCTTCTCTTGAGCTCGGCTTCGCCGAGCTGGCCTGGCTTCGCCAGGCGGCTCCATAATTTTAACGGAATTTTTTCGGTAGTGGGCTGCTCATAAGGCGCTGTAGTGATCAAATCGTAACAGACAGAGCAAGGCTTAGGATCCAAAGCATCCAAAGCACAACTCAGCACGCGCTTCTATTTACAGCGGCGGTGTAGTCCGCGCCATGACGCCCATAGAATACATAAATCTGTAGATAGATACAATGTGTAGTCGGCCAATACAGCGCAATATGAATCGCTCACTGAAACTTAACTTAACTTGAAACTGATCAGATTTCGTTTACATAACCTGCATCGGAATGCCTACGACGAAGGCTTGAGTTCATTTTCTAAGGCGGCTATCAGGGGAAGTGATGGCTGAAGGAAAAGTATGCACACTGAGCCTTTGATACTTGGGGTATAGTGATAAGAGAGGTAATGATAATGACCCCTTATCGTTTCTTATCGATTGATAAGATCCTGTCACCCGTCATCAATGTCCCTATCACTGAAACTCTATAATTTGGTAGTGTAAAGGCTCCAGCAATTTGACTGAACAGCATTGGCAACGTTCCTTATCAGCCCCTATCAGCTGTTATCACCTCACGTGCCGTGTCCCCATCTCCAACTGTATATAATTTTCTGAAATTAATGCCTAGCTGATGCTGTGTTCCGCGTTATGAGTATGGTGACCTTACCATTCTAACTCCCCTTATCAAATCCTATCAGCTGCTATCATTCCTGTCACCCATCAATAATGTCGTCTGGTCCCACTCCTAATATCATACCTTGGGAACCAATGTCCGCACAGTTTACTGTGTCGCGCACTATGGACTCGGTCACCCTCCCCTTCTGGCGCCTCTTGACGGATCTTATCTGCTGCTATCATTCCCTGTCACCCATCAATAATGTTCTTGTCCCACGTCCTATATCATACCTTGGAACCAATGTCCCACTGTTACTGTGTCCCGCACTATGGGCTCGGTCACCCTCCCCTTCTAAGGCCCCTTATCGAATCTTATCAGGTGCTATCACATTCTATCACCCACCAAAAGTGTTCCCGTCCTGCCACGTATATCACTTCTTGGAACTGTCGTCCTATCTTTTCTGCGACGCTCGCTATGAATTTCGTGACAGACAGACGGACGCACACACACACACACACACACACACACACACACACTGACAGACATACTTAGTGAATTATATATAGTAGGAT